ATTAATTTCACTGAGAAGGAGGTTTCCTCCTCTGTGCAATGGGATCTGATGAACTGAGCTGATGATTCTGGAATGAGCTGTTGACAGGGGCTATCTCTGTCCTTAATCAGGTCTCCCCATGGCTAATGTCCCTTCCTGAGGCAAACTGATGTCAAAAAATCAACTAACAGCACAATAAATTATTGATCTCTAACATGTGCTTCTAATTCTAGAAGCAACACGTGCTTCTAGTGGTTAAAGGTCATTTAACCACTGTGAGTGCTGTGTGTGACTGAAGCATTTTATGCGGAACTTTGAAGGTTTTTGATAACTTTCTGCAAAGATATTTTCACAGTGACTAAATCTCCTGGGACTCCTTGTGTCTCCAGTTCATGTTCCTTGGTGATCAAGGATGTTTTATAGGCCCCGATGGTAAACAATAGCAGTACAGTCAAAAGCATTTTTTGGCTATGTAATTTAGCAAGAAAGTTTGTTTGGGTTTTCATCCTTCAGGCATGCTGAAATATTTTAAATAATTAACCTATTTCTCTGCAGCCTCAAGAGTCTCCCATGTTTCTATCCACAGCCTGGGTTGAGTGATGAGTGGTGGAGATTGCCTTATGTATGTAGAAGACCATCAAGCTCCATGCAGCTTTCTTTTCTTGGGTAACAGACTCTTGATGTGGATCCTTTTACTTTCCAGTATTCATAAGACAGAATAAATCAGTGAGACCAAACAGCAAAAGATAACAGCTTGTTTTATTTATGTGTGTGTCTCATTTTTCTTGCTAGGTACCCCACAGCTGAGAATCTATGCAAGTTCAAAGGATGCATTCAAACTCAAGGATGATAAACTTTGGGTGTGTTGAACTAAGCCTCTGAACTCTGCCCAAATAACCCCTAAATGCAGGCATGGATATTCTCAAAGATGGACTCTTGAGATGGCATTATGAAGCCAAAGACCACTGGCCCTGGAGCCTAAACTAAAGACCCAACCAGAGTCCTAAGGGGAGTATGCTAAGATGCTTTAGTGAACCAAGAGTAGTAAAAGAACCATTTGGGAGGTTTAGATTTTTCTTCCTAAAGTTCCAAAAGTAGTACAGTCTAACAATGGCTTCCCAGCACCCATGTAAATCTGTCTTTCTAGGAAAATGCCGTCAGGAGCCTTGCTTGCTCTCTCCTCACAGACTTATCCAAAATGACTCTCAGCTACTAAACTGTGTTTTTATAAACCTCATATCCAGGAGAATCTTCGAAGAGAACTTGCCAAATTCTTCCCTGCTGCATAAGCTGTCTACTCCTAGTGACTCCCACTTGCATTTTGTGTGCGGTGATTGGATTTTGTTTTCCTAAGCACTGGTCATGCAGTTCCTTTAAAAATGAAAACGAGAGAAAGAAAGAGGCCATGCTAATTTTAGACAGAAGGCAGGGCTTTGTGATTTAGAAGACTGTGGTGTAGGTGTAGTTTCTAGAAGTCTTCAAGTAAACCTGACCTCAAAAACCACGGGGAAGACATTCATAATAGCAACATCCAGGACTATTAGGGATGAGACTAAGAGAATATTGTAAGCTGGGTAGAATTTGGCATCTCAGCATTTACAGAGGAGTGGCCTAGAGCATCCTTTAGATGCTCATCTTAGCCACGGACTCAAAAATAAAAAATAGGAATATTCATAGTAGGGATTTAGGTTCCTGCTGTGATACTAATGTCCCCTCAAATGATCTAAATTGTCACAGCCTGATCTGGCTGGGGTCTGCTGAGATGGTCTGAGCAGAGATTTTTTGGTTTTATTTTTGATTTTTTTTGTTCCCCAAGCCTTCCCGGGCTTGTTTTACCTGTTGTCTCCGTTGATTTCAGACCATTGGTCCCAGGGAAAGTCCCTTTAAGCAGTGAATACGTGTAATTCTTCTGTGGAGATAGGAGATGAAGGACAGCCCCACCAGCAGGCCTGATCAATTCTTTAATCAAAATCTCCCAGCCACCAGTGCCCAGAGGGATTTCTAGCCCCGAAGTAATTCCTCTGTGTTTGTTTTACAATAATAGCGGCGTTTTCTCAACTCCCCAGATAATGTTGTTTCCATAGTGACCGAGTCCATCAAATTTCATGTACAAGTTGCAGTTAAACTGTGCACCCTTTTTTTCTCACCTGCCTTGTTTTCTAGGCAATTGCCTCTGACCTATTGCTCCCGGTGTCATTTAGAGAATATGTTTATTTTAACTCTTGCAGAAGCCTGCAGATGCATAATCCAGGGATGCCCTCTATCCTGTCTTTTAATTTCTCCTTACAGGAGCTGTCCTTGATGTACGCTGTCACTCACAGCAGCAAGGGTACCGTTATCCAACCTCAGCACTACATGAAGAGATCCTGAACAGAGATAGTCATGGACATGTGGCAGCTAAGTCACCCCTGATAAAAGAGCTTTTAAGGAGCCCAGCACAGAGATCCCTGCTGATTCCATACGGGTCAGAACGGTACCACTTCACCACACACATCCCCAGTATGGGGGGAGGCTGGGCAGCACGGGTGAAATTTTTATTTTTTTAACCTGAGCGCATTGCTGTCCCAGTTAGGAATTTCTTAAAAAGAAGCAGAAAGTAGGATGTGTAATGAAAAGGAAATTTAGAGTCCACGCCTCACTGTTTTATTGTGGAGACTAGGAACATCTGTGCTGAGCACCTGACAGTGCCCGGTGAATCTGTGTGGTACAAAGCAATGTTTCCTTCCCCCAGGCTCATTCACTTCTCCAGGACCCTGTTCATACCAACACCACACCATAGAACAAGGTCTTAACGCCACAATTATGCTCCATCTAATTAACCCCAGTGAATAATTTCATATTTAGGGAGAAAATAGATGGCATAAGAGAAAAAAATAATTCACTCCATCTCATCACTGAAGGATCATTTAAAGCGAGAAGTGTCCCTTGGCACACAGCCTTTCTGTAACACAAAAGCAGCTAATTGTTATTTCAGAGAGGGCTGTTCTACAAGCTGTTAAAATCCATAAAAATAGTTTACAATGCTGCCTATGTTCTAAGTATCTGAGACAGAATTCTTCTTAGCAAATACAATTTACACGATAGGGAATAAAAAAATATATGCACACACTTTTTAGGTTAAAGATCTTTATTATTAAGTAACTCATTGTGGTTTTCAAGATACATTATAAATTTGTCCGAGAAATTTAAAGATAAGTACTCCACATGAATGCAGATTTTATATCCCATTCTATATGTAGGGGTTTGATTGTGGAGCCACGTAGCTCTATAGAACGCATTTAACTGGACATCAATGCCCACATTTTGATGTTGCCAGGTCAAGCACCATGGATAGACAGAGTCCAGGAGGCAAAGCTGTGAAATTAATGTGAGTGACACAAACTAAAACGGGAGATAAGACCATCTTTAATTATTGTGCTGATGTTTTCTACATAGAAGATGGCAGTGCTCAAATTTTACCAAGTGATTGCTGCTACAAAATCCAAATCTACAATGTACATGGAATTTAAATTACTTATACAAGACAAAAAAATTACATTACTTATATTCTGATATTGATGTTCAGGACAATTTTGCAACCTATGACATGAGCAAATTTCTTATTCATAAAATGTAAAAATGAGAGATTTGCACGTTTATTTAAAAAGTAACAGTATAGCTCTTAGGTAAAAGATGAAAGAAAAAGAAAGTAGGACAAAACAGGGCAGAAGGAAGAAAAGAGAAAGAAGAAACGAAAGAAAAGCAATTCACATACCTATGTATCTCACTTTAATTAGTAATCTTGGATTATATCATTTGCTTCAGTTTATTTGTGTCATTCAGTTGAGAAAGACAGTCAGAGAGAGACAGAGAGGGGGAGAGAGAGGGAGAGAGAGACACACACACACAGAGTTAGAGGGAGGGAAAGAGAGAGAGAGAGAGAGAGAGAGAGAGAGAGAGAGAGAGATATTTTCCAAAAAAGCAGGACCTAGATGTATGTGCATATACATATTTTAAATAAAATAAAGAAAAACTGTGACATAAACTTATTACCAGCTGAGCAACAACAGAAAAGCATGCAAAGAACTTCCAAATCTAGATAGCAACTCTTCAACTTATAAAGGCTTCCTCACTAGTGAACACGATTCTAACCTGGAATATAAAATCCATACTTATCTCACATCCTATAATTCAAGCACTCTCATAGCATTCTAATGATTCATTTCATGGATAGTTAATTGCCTTAATTGTATTATATTTCACAAAACAATCCATTTAAATGACTGCTCCAAGTTCAAGAAGAGCTTCTTTAATATCTACGTTTATGTCTGTGTAAAGTGACAAAGAAAGGAGTCAGAAATAACTGCTTCTGGGCATAAATAACTCCTCCTTTTCCCTCAGTCATTCTCAAGTAGAGTGTTTTAACCCTAAGCAGAGTGTTGTTTTAACCCAAACAGTGTTGCAACTCTTCAGGACACAGACAAACAATATTTCTTCTTCACTGGACTGAAAATGTTTCCAGCTCTATCCCTCCCTTCATCTCATTTTTACGATCTATCTTTTCACTGTGTCTTTCAGAGGGGTGGGAGGTTGGCACAAGAACCCAGGAAGGTCATGACCATATTTCTGTTCCTGGAGTCCAGGAAGATATTTAAGCGAAAAATACTGCAGTAAATAATGATGTTAATTTTTATTCTGCCATGAGTTAGCAAAAAGAAATGCTTCTAGCACTGATTAATCATTAAGCATTACCAGAACAGGTGGCAGTGGAAGAATTCTCTGAATTGGTGGGATTATCAGTTTTATAACCACTACCTCCGTTCAATAATATCAAGAAACTTTAAGAGGCAACCATAGTGACTCAGACAACCAATTGGTGCCACAGTTTCATGGCTTGGTGTGATGGTGCTGTTCATATACCTTGCATGTCTTAGATGCTTTTTATAAGAAACCACATTCTATTTTCTTTTTTATTTTTTTTTAAATTTTTTTTTTTTTTGGTTTTTCTCCGGTACCAGGAACCGAACTCACGACCTTGCGCTTGCCAGGCAAGCGCTTTGCCGCTGAGCTAAATCCCCAGCCCCCACATTCTATTTTCAATTTTTATAGATTTTAAAACCTATTATTTATCCTAGCTCACCAGTCTTATTTTTTTTAATTCCAGCATTTTGCATTTACTCCTTATTACTAAACACCACATCTGTAATTGAAGACACCAGTGTATAAGCTAATAAAAGAAGAGGTTGAATCAATTAGACTTCTTAATAGAATTTTCAACACAAAATTTGCTAGCAAAAAAATTGAATAATACAAAACAATGGAAAATTTACATTATTCTTTACCAAGTTTAACCTACTCTGCTTACTGCTATCACCATACAACATAGGTATATTAATTTTAAAAGGCATATTTTCAACTACTCCCCTTAAAGTGATTGGCTGGGATCAAGTGCTAGCCCCCCCTGATGTGGGATTACATTTGAGATTCCATAGAAATTCTATTTAAGGTCAAGAAAGCTTTCTGATAAGGTGGATCCTTACATGCATCTGTGACAGAAGTGCTATTCTCCTCAGGGTTTTCACAGCTACTGACGATAGCAACTGCATTAAATGACCTCCGCCTGGAGCTGGTGTCTGATGTGTAGGATTCTCGGGCTGGTGATGTTTTCTCCATATTGTGAAGCTGCTGATCTTTCCAGTCCAATTGCTTGGCACTGCAGAAGGGGGCATACACTTCTACGCTTCCCTCAAACTGTAAGCAGTTAACTTTGTAATACTTTCTCTTTACTTCCAAGACATCGTTAAACCTGTGGCCCCAGAGAATCTCTCTGGGAACATAGGAACTTCGAGATTGGTGAGATGTCCCCGTTGAATCACCAGTATAGATAAATGTTACCAAGATCTCAAAATTATCTTTGGCCACTGCTTTTCGGTCAAGGGCGTACAGAGGACTCTCATGGTCAATCTCATGAACAATAGTTACTGGTGTCACCAAAATAATCTGGTCATTGACCAATTTGAGGTCTTTAAATGCCATTGTCATTCGCCCCTCACTGTCTTCCGTGTAGCGAAGCAGCTGAGCTCTAACGGTTCCTTCTACCACATGGTTTGGCCGGAAGTCACCAATGCGCCACATAAGGCAAAGCTTCCCATCTCTCATGCCTATGAGTGCAAAGTAGCTGAAACGAATGGTCTGGGCTCTCTTGCGTGCGGTTGCCATTTTAGCCAAGGCTGCTCCGATGATGAAGGTATTGATGATGCAGCTGAGGATGGACTGCAGGATCACCATGAGCACTGCCACAGAGCACTCTTCAGTGACACAGCGGTAGCCATACCCGATGGTGGTCTGGGTCTCAAGGGAGAATAGAAATGCCGCTGTGAATGAGTGCACATTGTCCACACAGGGTGTGATATCTGGATCACTTAACAGATCTCCATGATAAAAGGCTATGAGCCAAAAGATGGAGCCAAAAATCAACCAGGAGAGAATATAAGACAAAGAAAATATCACAAACATATGGCGCCATTTGGTGTCCACCAGAGTGGTGAAAATGTCAACCACATAGCTCCCCCATTCCCCAAAAATGTGCTTGAAGTATACATTACAGCTGCCATCTTTGTGGAGCAGACGCCTTCTTGCTCTTCTCTTCTCAGCTATTATACGTTCTGGGGAGTAGCCCGGATATTTGGGGTCCACATTCACAATCCGGTAATTGCTGCTGTAATAGCTCATTTTTGCTTGTGCTCTTAAGGCATTCAGGTGAGTTTTGTAGTAGTAATAGTGCTAGGTGTGGTATTAGTTAGTAATTTGAGTTTTCAGTCAAAACCTAAAAATAAAAAGAAAGAAAATGTAACACACTTTAGTTTTCAATTTCTACCTTTATAGCAGCTTGATAAATTCAGAGCAATTTTATGCCATGTACAATAACCAAGACTTCATTTGAACCATAGAGACATGCAGTATTGATTTCTCATTTGTTTAGAATTCAACTGCATCATTACAGGGAGAAAATATGCAATTAGAGAAAATAACATTTTTTGATATGCACAAGGCTTGACTGAAAACTATGATTATTGCAAATGCTGTCTCCCTACTATTTTTTGACCTGACATAGGAAATATTTGCTTTACTTTTGTAGATACTTTTGCATGAGGCCATCTAGAAAACAAAGCAATCCACAGTATACAAATGCAAAATATAGTCCATGTGTTTGTCTATCAGCCCTATAAGCTTTCAAATTATCAACATCAAATGATTTTTCTTTAGAAAAGATGCAATAAAGAGTCTCTATCTTTGCTTGTATTGGAATTTACATGCCAGTTCCTAAAATAAGAAATCCCTTACCTGTAGCACCTGTGGCTTCTGCTGTCTTACACCCAGGTTTCTTCTTTGCATATTTCCCAGGACAGAACAAAACTAGCAAGGGGCATCTGCCCCTGATTATACTACTTTCCCCTAGCTCCACCTTAACTTGTGATTAGAAATAAGAAGTATTCCTTAACCCCAGAGGAGTTAAAACCATTCACAGCTAAACTTTCAGTAAGGTGTACAGTTGCTTCTGTCTTTGTTTAATAACAGTCATTTTTTTTTTTTTTTTTTTGGACACTGGCAGCTCTTCCCTTTCTTTCTGAATAGAAGCCTAAAATTTGCCAAAGTTGCTAATCTTGTTTCTCTCTTAAAGGGAACATACAGCAATACAATTGGACCTTTTTCTCCAGTTCTTCAGTGTTTTCTGATGTGTTCACAGTCTTTGTTAGGCAAAGTAATTTTTCTCCCTCTAAACCCAGTCTTTGAAAGATCAAACTAGAACATGCATATTGTTCTTCCCAGGTCTAGACCAAATGCATTCTCCAGCTTCAATCTAGAAGTACACTTTAAAAATGAAAGATCAACATTGCCTTTTCTTGCTTCCATGTAAAAAAAGAGAGCAGTAACAGCAGCACATTTAATGGTTCGCTAATTTTTAGAATATGCATTTTAGACACTCGATCTGGGTGAGAAGGAAGACAGGGAATGTAGGGAGAGACCTTCTCTGAGAAGATTCTGCCCCTTTGCTGCAGAGAAAATGCAACATGAATGAAAACTACTCCTGTCCTTGAGATCCCTTGAACCAGCTAGGGAAAATGATCACTGTTAACCCGGCATCTCCCCTGCTGGATAACAGCAGAAGGAGTAAAGGCCCTCCTGGTGAAAAAGAACCATTTTTGTCAGTCTCTGGAGATCAGGCCCACTTTACAATAAACTCTTTGTTTAATGGACCTTTTGTAAGGATAGGCTCTGCTTACAGCCAGAAATCCTGTACTGCGTGGATGAACTTTTCCCGGCCCAGCTGCCTGCTTACTGGCTACTTCACCCACCCGAGGACTTCATCTATTCTGAGTGGTTACAGCTTTCCTGATGAGCACTTTAACTGTGTTTTCGGGGTCAGTTGTATAGTTTCAGGACATGACCTGAGCCTGCCAAATACTTATTGGAAACTGCAATGTAAAATATTTCCATAAATTTTGTTCATGATCCTAGGAGGTGTGAGACTGGGATGAATTATAATTAATGGACCATATGATTTCTAATTAAAGAGCAGATTCAGTGATAGGATAATTTTCTTGTTAGAGGCTTCCAACTCGGTGCCTTTTAAGGAACTATATAGATCATGCCAGGCTGAGTTAGAAACTACAGTTCATAAATCAGAAGCCACTGTGTGATTCTGCTTTTTTCTACTGCCAAAAGAGAAAAGTTTTTATTTGAAATGGCATTCGGTTGGCAACAGTGTCAATACTAGTGGTGCCACCAACTATTATAAACAAGATGCTTTTAAAGGCTTTCCCCAAAGGGGCCAATCAATGGATAAATTTTCAATTAAGTCACAGCCAAGCAAATCTGAGTTTATAGAAAAGGTATTGCTCAACAAAGTAACAGCTTCGGAGATTAAAAGTTACCAACTATGAGAATTCTGCTCAAACCCACCTCTTCTGATCACAGCTTCTGCCGTGGTTCATTAGTAGGACAATTCATTTCAATTTATCCAGAAATAAACATTCACACTATGTTGGTTCACACAATTTATTTGTCTAATCTCTGAATCTCCAGTCATGTAAATAATACACATTTTTAGAGATTAATGTCTTTGATCTGAATGGCAGATCATCACTAAACTAATCGTATTCTGCTTTACAAAGAAGTGTATGGTGGTCCTTTTCAATTTATAAACTTGCAATGTTTCACATTTGTATATCTTAGGACAAAACATCAGCCTTAGGGGGTTGGGGATATAGTTCAGTAGCACAGCGTTTGCCTGGTAAGTGCAAGGTCCTGAGTTTGGTTCCTGGTACCAAAAAAAAAAAAAAAAAAGAAAGAAAGAAAAGAAAAGAAAAATCACCTTTAAAACTGTCTTAATGTCTTAATCACTTTGCCACCATTAAATCCATTACAAAACCTTTTTCAGGCTTCCTACTTTTGTATTTACTGTTTTGTACGTTGCTCTCTAGAAATTGACAGTGACTGTTTCCACTGGATTCAAAACTTTTGCTTTTAAACTGAGAATGGAAAGATCATGCATAATTACAAAATATGGAATATTCAGTGCAAAGTTAAATACTGAATCAGATAAAGTCTGCTTTACTGGATAATTCATGACAAAATTAGGAAAAAGGACAAACACAGTGATTCTTTCCATGGATTCTTTTATAGATGGAGCTACAGTAAAAGACAAGGCCTAGTCACCAAGACACATGCCCAGAATGTCCTCAAGGTTTGTTTAAAGTACAGACATTTATAAAAGCCCTCAGAGGCACCCTGGCTTACTTTATTCCATGCGTAGAGTTGAAAGGGAAAAAGTTAGTGAGATCAAAATCAGCAAAAATTAGAAGATAAATAAAAAAGAGGGAGGCAGAAAGACTGTATAGAGAGTAAAATTAAGAGAAAAATGAGAACAATGAAAAGGGAGAAAAGGAAAAAGTGAAGAAAAAAGAAGCGAGAAAAATAGATAAGGACCAAGGAAGAAGGACAAAGTAAAATTCTTCATGTCCCAATAAACTGGTGAAGAAGAAAGAGGAGAAAGAAAAAAAAGCAAAACTAAACCAGACTAAACTAAAAGCAGGCACACAATCACAAAAACAAAAACAAACAGAACAAAAACAAATTCTCTGCGATTTCAAATGTGCAGTTTTATCCTGCAACCTACAATGTCAGAGCAGTATCCAAGTCAAGACACGTCCCAGTTTATGCTGGTAGATAAAGAAGAGAATCAGAGCCTAGAACCATGCTGCATATGGTCAGCAGAGGCGGTAGGATTAGGATGAGGGCACCAATGCTGCAACTTTCCAGTTTTAGACAAAGTGGATTTCCAGCCAAGACTGATCAGGAGAGACAACAAAGGTCACTACATACTGGTTAAAGAAAAAAATTCAGTAGGAAGACATAACAATTATAAACATGTATGCTCCCAAACCAGAATACTCGAATTCAAACAAATACTAACACACATAAAAAAAATCAGATAAGTACCAGTACAATTGTAATGGAGGACTTCAATATCCCACTGCCACAAATGGATAGACCAACTAGACAAAAGCAGCAAAGAAATATCAGAGTTGAACCAAAGTTCAAACAAATTAATTTAATAGATATCTACAGAGTGTTTTATCCAGTAACAGAATATGCAGTGTTTTCAATAGAATATGGACTTTCTCCATGATAGACCATATAGTATCCCATAACAAAAGAATCAGAATTATCATGTGCATATTATCAGATCATAGCACAAAGAAACTAGAAATCAATGTTATATGACACCACAGAAACTACGAGAGCACATGGAAATTAAATAATACTGTCTTGAATAATCAATGGGTGACAGGTAAAATTAAAGAATAAATTAGACAATTCCTCCAATCAAATGGTAATGCCAGTATAACATACTGGAAGCTATGGGACACAATGGAAGAAGTTCCTAAGAGGAGAGCTTACAGCAGTGAATTCCACATCAAAGAAACAGAATGAGCTCAAATAAGTAAACTAAATATGTACCCCAAAATCCTCAAAACATGAGAACAATCCAAACCCATGAGAAATATGAGGAAGGAAATGACAAAATCAGAGCAGAAATTAATGCAATTGAGGCTAAAAAAATCAATGCAAACATTCAATAAATTGAAGAGTAGATTATTTGCAAGAATAAACAAAACAGGTAAATTCTTAGCCAGTCTTACCAAAATAAGGAAAGGAAAGAACCAAATCTAAGCAATTAAAAGTGAAAAATCAAAAATCACAATGCATTGAGCCAAAATTCAGAAGATAACTACTTGTAGAAATTCTTCTCTAATAAAATGGAAAATTCAGAAAAAATGGATAAATTTCTAGATACACATGAACTAGCAAAGCTGAACCAAGAAGATAGAAAATTCCTGAATAATTCAGTATCAGTCAGTGAAATTGAGGTAACAAAAAACTAACAAGAAAAGCCCAGGTCCTGACAGATACACTGCCAAACTATGTAAGAACTTTATAGAAGATCTAATGTCAATACTCCTTAGACTTTTAAATGAAATCAGAAATGAAGCAGTATTCCCAAAGTCATTCCTGGAAGCAAGCATTACCCTGATTCCAAAAGGAGCAGGGGACCCAGCCATAAAAGACAACTACAGGCCAATCCCTTTAATGAACATAAGTGAGAAAATGTTCAAGAAGATACTGGCAAACAGAATGTAGTAAATCATCTAAAAGTGGTGATAGCGAACACCAAAATCAGCTTTCCAATTCAAAGCAATTTAGGTTGAACCTGACCTTTGGCTGTGGGGGTGGGGACTGTGTCCTTTAGCTTAAACACCT